GGGAGATGGAAAGAAAGAAGGCACCGCAAATGGAAAAACAGAACGGGGGAAGAGAGAGGGTGGTATCCAAAGGGGGCGGCGGAGATTTCCTTGGGGGCGACGTTTGGGCAGCATCCGGGAGGGCATCATCTACACACCTCTTCGATATGAGACATTCTGAGACAGAGTCATCACCCTTTTTTTTCCGTGGTGAACAAGAACTGAAAACCTTGTGCCGCGTCCCCGCCGCCGCCCAGCCCATCCAGTCCGCTCTCCTGGGTTGCTTCATGTGACTCTTCTCCACGTCCTACCCAATGGAACGGGTTCGTGAGGGGGGGGAGGCACGGTAGGCAGGCCGTCAGCAGGTTGACTGACTGCATGCATTCTGCATATTTGGGGGCGTCCTGCGCTCTACCGGATCTCGCTGCGAGCTGAGGAGGGAGCGCGCGTGTGTGCATATGCAGCAGTGTGTCTCGGTGGTGGTTTCTAATAATGGCACAGCCTAGGGGGGAGGGCTGACGGTGGTTACTCGACCACATGGCAGCCGGCCGACCAGTCACAGGCGGGAGAGACGGACGGGAGAGAGACGAAAGAGAGTGCGCTGGCTATTCTTGGGGGCCGTTACGCGCTCGACGGTCGTGCTGTTGCAAGCCACCACCATCTCGCGGCTCTACTCGCGGGGCTATTGGGGAATATGCAGCTCTGCTAATGCACCAGAGAATCCCTCGGCCCAGGGATGCAGTTGTAAGTCCTACGAAGGTTCCAAGTGTGTTTCGTGGGCAGCTCAGTTCGCAGCCAGAGTAGGTACCTTTGTGTAATTAGCAGGAAGGTAAAGGCGAGCCAGAAACGTGGACGCCAATCCGGCAATGTATCGACTACGTCGTAGTTAGACCGCAGTGCTACGTCGGTCCGGTTCGTCGTCCAAGGCTAAGGCTTAGAGGATGTTCTACTCTGCGAGGAACAAACGCAGCCAACCCCCGTCTCATGAAAGCCGTCCCGTCCCCTTGGCAGCCTACTTGCCTATGTCCATATGGCACTGACGGCTCACGGAATTTCCCAGCAGCAAGGTAAATCCTCCCTACTTGTGGATATATGGAGCCTTCTTGAGGACGACAGCGGGCGTTGAGCGCTCTAGCCATGCCTAAAAACGATTAGACTACGAGGCAATCAATCACGGCACTGGGACAAGGCAAGGCAGTTGGAAGCAATGTCGGCAGAACCCCGTCCTTGCACCTGTGGATGGAGACTTTTCTGCGAGGACGGGCTAGACCGCAAAGCCTCAGACTTGAGGTGGCTGATTTTGGCCACCTCGAATGCGTTGCCCAGTTGCGGTAGGTGCTCTCACTGCGTAGATGGCGTGGAACTTGTGTAGTGCATCGTGACCCGTCATGTTGATGGTGCCGTGTGTCGTCGCTGGTAGGAATTGACAGCAAGGGCGCGAGGATGTCATCTGGCGACAGGGCGAATCGGCAGTTGACTGTCGGTCAGAGACGGCAGTGGTTAAGGTAGCGCAGTACTGCCCATCCCCCATGTCCGCCCATAGGGTCCGTGGCATAGTAATATCGCGAGGTCCAGTATACAGCAACTATCAGCGAGATGGCATCTGCATTGCGCGTCCAGGGAGCGCATTTGTCAACGGAACCCCCCTGGCCGCGGTGAGGTCGGTGCGGATTAATAATAAGGAACAACCCGCTGGGAGCTGTGCTGGAGTGTGCCGTTGATGCTGCGGGCTTGGTGGTGGCTGCCTTCCGTCATTCATGGGTTCTTGCCGTTATGGGAAATAATCACAGGATAGGGAAGGTACGGTCAGGATGTGGGGGTTGCGCCTCCCCTGCCTTTGAGAATAACGGATCCACAATTTCGGGAGGCTCGGTGCCAGTCACTGGGGAGCGCTCAGGCAGGACACGCTAGGTGAGCTAAAGCACTAAAGGTGTGCTGGGGTCGCATCACTTAGTGTCGAAAACTAAAATAGCACAGACGGACAGGCAAGCTCAACAAGCGCGAGATGCTCGGGCGATAATCTCCGAAACGCCTGGATTTAAGAAAACGCGAGGGCCGTTGAGACAGCTGGTACAATCATGCTTGATATGCCCCATGGAAAAGGATTGGGGGAAGAGCAGGATATCGGGGGGGCAGGCCGGGTACGCTAGTCGAACCGTGACGGTTGGGTTGGGGGAGCAATTGCACAATCAGAGTATACATCGCAGCTACGGGCATAAGCCAGCCCACAAACTCGAGGCTGTTAGCACACTACTAGCAGATGGCATGGCAGCGGTTGCCGAGCGTGCTGTGGCCTCAGCACAAAGGCGAGATCCAAGGCTGGCTTAATTAAACCTGCCAATACGTAACTCGAAGCCTAGCTTCCGTACAAGAGGGATGGGTGCCAATTTGCCTGGCAGCTACGCCTTGGGAGTCGCCTTACCCTAAGCATCACTAGCATGACGATTGGGTTCTGACCGGGCCCTCTCCGTCGGAGAGGCGGTAGTTGGGACACTGACAAACCACCGTTGCCAGTCTGGTGCTGAAGGATTGGGGCCCCAGTCTCGCCGTCACTCGCTCCAATCATGCCGACGTGCCGGAGTTTGGACCTGCTTAAGTCCAAGACTTTTTGGCCTGAGCCATCACAGCGGTGTCGATAATACCACCCTCCATCATGGAGGCCTACGGATTGATCTGG